CTATATTAAATATGCTGCAATATGGTATTTAAGTATATGAAGAAAATGCAGCCTCAGATATGAGTGAAAGACAGGAAAAAAGATAGGAATATTAAAAAATCAGTCATGTATTTGAGACTATTCTTTGATATTACACCAAAACTTGGGCAAGTGGTAGTTCACTAAAGGTTAGTCACAATGTGGAATCAGAAACCATGTCAATGGACTTTTCATACTGTGTTACACAAAAATCCTTGATCTCCTTTACACTTTTAATAAATCTTTTACCTGTGTGTGATTTTCACCAATTGGAAATTATTGGTTTACTGAATTATACAGTCCATCCAAATGTTGACACATTTCATTTTACAATATCAAAATATCACACTTGTTAATATCACCAGTGAGCTCTTCAGAAAACCCTATGTATGTTGAGTTCATTGTGCCAGGTAGACGTTTTCCAAGATTCTAACTTGTGTGTGAATTCTTGAATTACGTTTTTGGTAACAAATACTTGTCAGTTGTTTTTCTTGAAATAAGCTCCTTTTGTTCATTTTCAGGAAAATGTCAAGTACTTGAGTTTTAATAACTACATTTGTCTGTAGTCATTCTTTTAAGTAAAACTAGTGTTCCACAAATAAGGAGTTAGTTTACTTTTCAACTCAAACTGCTGCACAAATACTTTTCCTCAAGGCAGCCATCATATTTCACAAGGCAGAAATTCTTACTTTATATGTATTTCTCATTTTGTCACGTCATGAGTTGTGCACCATCAGTGCAAATGTCAACATAGTCAATAATATCTTAATATAATTATGAAAATAGTCTTGCCTTCATGGACTCAATGAAAGTGTCTTGGGGACCCACAGAGCTCTAAGGACCACACTTTGAGAACTGCTGTGTTAGAAAATATACCCAGCCCCTCACAGACATTATTCCATGTCATCTTTGCAGGAAGCCATGTGGTAGAAACTGATTTTCTTCATTTAACAGATTTTCCATTATTTTACAGATAAAAATTAGGG